GGGGATGCAGTGGGAGGGTTGCAGTGGTAATTCCCATATCTAGGTCGCATGGACACGGTGTTAATGCTGAACTTCACAGCTTGGTGATGACAAGTGTTTAATTAACACAACCAGATCCCTCCAGGTCCCAGTAATGAGGATGGATGCTGATGAGTCCCTGCAGTGAGGATGCTCGGGGTAGTTTGGACATCCACAGCCCATTCCAGCTCCCATGAGAGGCTGCGCCTGCCAAACCCATGGACACATGCATTTGAGGGCCCTCAGGCCCATCCTGCCCATGTTTTGGGGGGTTATGGCATAGGCAGGGGTCTCCAGATGGCTGGAGCTTGGGCACAAGAGCGCCTGGAATTCTGGAAGAAACCCAGGGATGAGTGTGGGGACCAAGCCAGCAGTGTGCCAGCTGGATGCCAGTTTATTGACTGTGTAGGGAAAACAAGCACGGGGAAGCCAAGGAATGTGGAGAATTTCATGGGTTGATGGTTCCTGCTAGGGGCTGGTGGTTACCAGCACTGCCAGGTGCTGCCCATGTCACCAGCTGCGCCCAGCACCTTCCCACTGGGACTCAGCTTGAGATGCAGAGGTGAGCACAGCTCCCGGCTCCTGGGGTATGTGACCCCAACTCCCCTCACCTGGGCTCCCAGCTCCATGGGTGTGTGGGGCTGTTTCCGTGTCCCAGGGTGTGCAGTGGGCACCCAGCTCTGGGGACATGGGACTGTGCATCGAGCTCCAGGGCTATAGGATCATGCCCCCAGCTCTGGGGACATGGCATCCAGAGACATGGGACAGTGTATTGAGCTCCTGGACATGGGATCATGCACCCACCTCCTGGGATATAGGATCATTCACCCAGTTCCAGGGACACACCACCCAGCTTCAGGGGTGCACCTCAGCTCCCTAGGGAGCACTCAGAAGCTCCCCACTCCTGCACAGCAGCTCTCAGCCGGGGAGCACCAAGAACAAAAATTCGACAAAAAAATTAGCTCCGGCTTCTTCTTCTTTTTTTTTCCCTCTCTCTTCTTTACAAAATAAACAGGAAACAGACTAGCTTTTTTTTTTTTTTTTTTTTTTTTTTTTTTTTTTTTTTTTTTTTTTTT